AAATTTTTACCAACAGGCATACAAGTGGAAATTTCAAACATAATTATAAGAATTATTACATATCCTGGATTCCAATGGAATTACCAATTTCACTACAACAACTTTTGTCAAAAAAAAGTTAGAATATAATTGAATCTTACCTTTTTGCTGTTTTATCAAATCTAAAATTTGTTGGGTATTTGTGTATTTTAACAAGATGTGATTTCCTGTCTTTGGTTGTCTTGAATCTTTCTCCACAGCTCTCAATAAGACAACAATACTGTAAATAGAACATATTTAATTGGTGATTTTTAGTTCACAGAAAGATCTCATGTAATCATCTAAAAGAATCATATAAACTGACTATCATCAATAGGTGATTTCCCGATCAACTGCGACTGTGATCTCGCGAGTTGCGTGACACATGCCAAACCTCTGCAACAAAAAATGAACAATTTGATTTTGAATTTGAATTTCTTTATTTGGTAGCTCACATCAAAAGGCCATTCTTTGTCAGAAAAATATAATTGCATTTGAATACCCTCACTTCATCGAAATTGACCATCATCAAATGTGTACAGTATATTAATAAGCATGGAAATATCCTTTGAAATAATTTTGTGTTTGTCGAATCCCACGCGATGTTAGTTGCTACCATGACACAATAACCTTTGTTTGTCCTATTTTTACGATCGATTTCCCACATAACGCACAATCTCACAGTGAAAGGAAAATGGTCTACTGTTTATGGCACATTATTACATGATATTCATTCAAAAATAGGCAAATGAGATAAAATGCACAACTTGTATTGCCTCGGTGCATTTTGGTGTCACTATGACCTTTGTGCGTCCTGTTTTTATGTTCAATTTCTTGCAAAATGCTGGATTTCATAGTGAGGAGAAAATGGTCTATTGGTACCATAAAAGTCATTCCGTATTGATTCAAAATAATAATAATCACCCTATTCATCTCAAAGTAAAGGGTTTCAAATAAAATATAAGATCAGTGCACCCTCTACAGGTATCATTTCAAAATCAAATTGAGCCAGCTTTTTGACTGCTGGGAAGGTTGAACTTCAGGAGAAAAAACAGAAGTGTATGTGACTGTTTAGGTGATTTAAGGCACAAACAAAAGTGTTGTGGCCCTGATTATCCTTGTATTTACACTTACCGGTATATTGTTTATAAAATGTGAAAAAAAAAGTCAGGAGAGACAACAGTGACACTCAATGTCCAGAACTGTTGCCTGGCACAAAAAAAAATTAAACTCACCATATTTTGTTTCTCTGCTAGCATTTGGAATAAAGCATCATGCCATTCTAATACATGTATATCTAACAAATGATTGGATGGAAAGAATCGTTTACAGTGGTTACACACGTATCTGTGTTTAGAGTTATAATGAATCTCATAGGCCTGGATACTGGTAAACAAATCATTACACCTTGGTTCATGACACTTGAATTCAGGAACACTGAAAAAAAAACAAATTAGATGACTTTTTATCAACATTAATAGTTGTAAATTCATGCTTATCCAGTAGAAGGTGCAGACACCATAAGATAAACATTCCCATACCCGTCACTGGTAGCATAGTGATTGTCGCATCAGACTCATGATCGGTAGACCCAAGTTCAAATCCTACCTTAGGCTGAACATCAAAGGGTCGACCCCTACCCTGGGTGAGTGTGCCACAGACTCAATGGGAAGGCCAATTCCACTGGCGGAGATTCATTCACTAACGAATGCGACTTTGAGGGAACCTTGGTTAAGGTCCGCAGGATGCTTGTGTTCGACCGGGCCTGGTTGACGCCAGGATAGCGCATTACAAATTGTCATTTGACAGAGAGATGGTCGCAGAGCCCTGTCATGTAGTCCCAAACATGAATATGAGTTCTGTGGCAAAATGCACTATGTGTCGTCACTAGCACTTGCAATTTGCACATACAGAAAGAAAATTAAAAAAAAGTCAGGAGAGACAACAGTGACACTCAATGTCCGGAACTGTCGCCTGGCACATTCCCATACTTTTATTGACATGTAATTTCTCAGACTGTGTATTAACAGAATCACATTAATTCAAGCCTTGATCATTCAGAATTAGATTTTTAGATCATAGACAGGAGTTTCACTCATTTCTGAAGTAAGTGATTACTCACTAGAATTTACGACTGTAAATGAAAATGTCACTGGAGTTTTAATCCTAATCATGTCTTTCACAATATTGATTTCATTCAAGCATTGCAAGTGGAAATACCAACCACCAAAGTTTTGGTCTTGTATATTATCTTTATATATATATTTAAATATTTTAGGTATAACTCATACATTGGAAGTACAACATATTTATTCACAAATAACTTTTGTATTGCAAACACAGCATATTGATGTTACTAAAAACTCACACATGCATGGCATATATATGTATTTAGTTTAAAAATTGTACGTTTATTAATGTTAATAAATGTTATTAATATGTACTTGCAATGTTCATGTTAATAATAAATAAACATAAAAAAAAATGTGGTATGAGTTGAAAGATATTTCCACCAATTGCCAATTATGCAAACAGATCCGAAAGCAGGAAACGTCAGGTTTTTACATCAAAAGCTTTTATTGAAAGACTGATCACTCTTTCATATAGTTATACAAATTGAGAAATCTGCCAGGTAGGTGATTTTTTAGTCACTGCAAGATGTTGTCAATGAGTAATGTGTGAAAGATGTGGATCAAAGTCCCCCACAAAATTCAAACGATTTGATTTTGAACTTTAATGTCTCTTTTTTGATGTTGAAGTATGGACATTTCAGAGAGGAATATATCATTGCGATATCATTACTTCATCAAAATTGTTCATTCAGACAGAAAATGATCTATTAATAGCTGGAGGTTTGTTGATGTGAGACATTTTATCCCAGAGTCAATTCACACATCTACAGATGCCATTTATTTAACAAAGACACGGTATTTGAATACTAGTAATACAGTTCAATATATGACACACTTCCTGTCTCAGTTGAGTGTATTGAAGGCAAATATTGACCCCATCTTGTATGTGACAACCTTTTAATTTTAGCCACCAATTTACCTGATTTCTTAGTTTTTATATAAATGTTATTAATTCATATTACTATATAGGAAAATATACCAAAGTTTATAGAAAAAATGGACAAACATAATTAGCATAAAAAACTTGACTACATGTATTTTGATATATTATCAAACTTGTTTTCACTAATGGAAACTAATGGAATTAACCAATGATTATACTGTGTCTGTACTGTGTCTGTACATACAATTTTGCCATTTATTATATAGAAATGTTTATGATTGAATGAAATAAAGTGAAAGTCAATCGCATCGCGATCTTCTATTTATATTCAAAATGTCTGAGTCACCCACTATTAGTTTGACATCTTCCATTGAAGTTGGTTTAACCATGGAACTATAAACCCCAGGAAGAACAACCACTTCGTTTCCTTTGAACTATGATAGTTGCCGCGATGTTGAATGTTTATTTTGACTGTTTATTTCGTCGCATTAAAAAATAAGCCAATTTACGCAAATGAACATTTATCTCCAACTATCGGTCATTTTCGGAGTCAATCGAGCGACTTTGGAAGAACGCGTGATCGAATTGTTTCGGTTATAGCATAAAAAAACAATGGCGCCAAGACAAAAACACTGATAAATGAGCGACATTCAACGGGAAAAAAAACACATTGCCACTTCTGGCAATCGAAGGGAAACACGGAATAAGTCTGGATATCTCGACAACAAACAGCATACCAAACCCCATGTTTCACAAACTTTCGCAACCTTATTTTTTCGAGGGTTGAAAAAAACAAGAAGTAATCTAAAAACGACATTGAAAATTATGAAAACTCGCCAAAACTCTGACCCGTTGCATGATTTCCGGTACACTGAAGGTCACCCTGCAGACTGACTTGTTTGCACATGCGTGGTGAATGAAATATTTTAGTGCGGATATGAAATTTTTTTTTCCAAGTTTTCCGTTTCCAGCAAAGCAGTTGATACGAGCGTATTGGCAGCAACTAACATGGAGTATGACTAATGTTGTGGAAACAAAAGCGAAAGCACTGTAAGATAAACTAAGACAAAGGTTTTTTTAATCCTCTTAGTTTCGTTGTTCTTCCTGGGGTTTATAGTTCCATGGTTTAACCCAACTTGTTCAAATCACTCATCTTCATCATGTATATATTAAACAATAAAAGTGGTAAAACGTTTTTTTTTTTTTTATATGTACAGAGGTACTATTTGCTTGATCTGATTGGGAGATCTTTTTTTTATGGCTTCACTAATATTTTTTTTTTTTTTTTTTTTTTTTTTTTTTTTTGAATATTGGCAACATAATGTAACCGCTAATTTCAAATACTGAAGTTCGTTTATTTTACAGAAGGGTGCCACGGGCAAAAAAGTCCGCTCGGGTCGAAATTCTTGGCAGAAACGTTCAGGCCGTTGACGATTGAGACGTCAAAGGGTTCTAGTGTCGTGGGGTCAAAACATCCGTGAATCATTGTTGATATTGTAATAGATTACCAGTCGTCGATTTCAATTAAGGTAGCGAGAAGGGAAATTTTTACTTTTTTCTTGATTTTTCAAAAATTGATAAAACGGTTACTTTAGACCTTGATACATCACCCCAGGTTTACAAAAGATCGAAATTGCGAAATAACGTTGCTCAAATTAGTGTTTTAAAACACTAGCAGAAAAGACTATGA